ATGCGCCAGGCCGGTTCACCCGCCCTGTAGCGGGCACCCGCACAATTCAATGTGCTACTCGTCTCGCATATTCCATCTGTGCCAGTCATCTGTGCCAGCCATTTTCACCCGCCCTATAGCGGGCACACGCCTAATAAGGCCCGCGCTATAGAGGGGCTTACGACATGAACGCACAGTAAGTATGAGCGCCAAGAAAATGGGCGAGTGGGCGAGTGAGGTGTGTGGTCCTGGATTTTCAAACGGTGTTGCTCTTCGATCCACGTTTTGGGCACCTCCGCAGCAGCAGCAGCAGCATGGGCTGGCGACTGACCTTCCGAGCTGTTCCTCCTTCTCCACCGGGACCTGTAGGCCAACGCACTTCGTCCAGAACTCGGGGTCGTTCACATCCACCTTCACGGCATCAACGATGACAACAGAGCAGCCGTAACAGCGATGGTACAAGCAGTAGCAGCAACGGCAACAACAACGGCAACAGCAGCAGCGACAGCGTCAGCGGCAGCAGCAGTGACTGAGCAGCGGCGGCGGCGGTGGCGGCAGAGGCGTACGAAACAGCAGCAGCAACAACACCAGCGACGAGGTGTTAGTGATAAGTTTCGATGAACATCATCGAGGTTGTACCCGTCTGAAAAATAGAGCAACCCCAGTTAACTCCAGCTCAGCTTATCGGGCAATGAACTGTTGGGGGATACAAAAAAAAAAAAACGACCAAGCCACGCCTCTTCCCTCCACTCACCGCCGCGCTTCCGGCGTCATTGCTAGTGGCCACGAAGCTGGCCTTGCTGAACGAGTTGGAAGGCTTGCCTTCCTCCACGCCGTCCGCAGAGCGGTTCACAACCTTGCCGGAGAGGCGCGGTGGTGCGGCGAGAGAACGAGAGAAGCGACACGGGTGCGGCCGGGTAGGTGGATCGGTTCGTCAGTTTGAGAATGGGTGCGGGTACACGTCCGGCGGCCGGAGGGGGAGAACGAGCTGGAGGCAAGGCTTCACGTCCGTCTGCGCCTTCCGTGCAGCAGTGGTTCACCAGTGGGTTGCAGGGGATGGCGTGCCAAGGAGGACAAAGGGATGGGAGGTGTGCAGTGAAATGAAAAGGGGGGGGAAAGCTGAGCTTCCTGCCATATGGTTGGCTTCAGACCATCAAACGCGCGGTTGAATGCCTTGTCTACCGTTTGATGAACATCTGAAACCTGGTAGGGCTCGCTGAATTGCGAGGGAGGGGGGGGGCGAGGTGAAGAGGCTATTCCAGGATCAGCAAGTGGCGACTCAAAAGTCACGGCTTGAGCAGCGACAACGCTGTCGCTTACCACTGCCCTCGAGAGGATGGACTCGATGTCGTCCTCGCAGAACTTCTTGGCGGCCTCCTCCCCTTCCTTGCCCTCCTTGAACACGTCGTACGCGCCGTGCTTGAGCAGCATCTCCACCTGATCGACCAGAGGGGCAATCAATCAAAAGAAGAAAAAGCATCGAACGTGTGTCATGGACGTGGGATGAGATCAGATCATGGCTGGGATAGGGTGAGTGGACGAGGGGGGTGACATTTGAGCGCAGTAAGAGCGTGGAGCCGAAGCAATCGCCGCCTGTGAATACACAAAAAAACACGGCGGCGTCTCCCACGAAACCGAAAAACACAAGGTAATCCCAACGGTGTTTACCCACCAAACGGGGTACAGGAAGAGATTGAAGCTAAAAGAACACTTGGGAGTACTGACTACATATCATACCTCGGCCTTGGTGGGAGCCTGCTTGTCCTGCTTGTTCTGCGGTCTGGAGCTGGACAGGACGGCCTGGTCGAGGCCCAGCTTCTTGCTGGCGGTCTTGAACATGTGCATCTCGTACGTCTTCGCCACCAGGAGACGATATACCTTATGTGGCCAGAGCAGGGGGGGCGATAAGAGGAATATGAAGCACAGGTGCTGAATACTGCAAATGTATAGCTGTTTGTGTGGCCGGCTCGATAATTCATTTCGTTCGTTCGGTGACACCAGTTGTGTTTCATGGGTGTTCAGTGCAGCTCGATACTCTCCGTCGCGGAAACTCTTGTAGTTAAACATCTTATCAGGAGGAGGTGAGAGACAAGAACGGCACAAACATCTCACGAACCCCTATCCATCACCACGTTCGGAACTTGAAATAAGATTCGGGCGACGACATCCCAGTCCGTCCCCTTGCCGGTCCTCGCAGCCGTTCACCGGGTGGTTGGTGTACTTCTAACCATTGCAGAACATGTACAGCATCCTAGAACGAGGTGCCGCTGCAAGCGCACCACTTCCAGGTGAACAGCCCGAGAGCCATGATCTCGTCTCACCTTGACGCTCTTGGTCTGCCCGATGCGGTGGCAACGGGCTTGAGCTTGGACGTCGTTCTGCAAAAAAAGAACAAGAACACCCACCATTGCAATAAAACGTAGGGGGGAGGTAGCCAACAGTTTGTAGCCCACCCTTCGAGATAAAAGTCAAAGTCATCCTCGCGCCCGACGTTGGGAAATGGTAAACGTCGTCAGGGAACGCCGCACTTTTGAGGGAAACACGCGGCAACGGCGGCGGCGACGGCCACAGAACATGAACATAACACTCGAGGACGGGGAAAGGTGGGAATGATCCACCCTAGACAGCTTCAACTGTTTTTCCACCTCTCGGTCTCCTCAACGTGGACACTTCAAGAGGAAGCGTTGTGAGCGACCCCCGGCTCTACCACAGAACAGATTGACAAGAGGGCAGATGGACTGGGAAAAGAGACAAAGGATATTGGGAGCACGCCATGCAACACCTGCGAGATACTGCCACTCGGCGCCTCACAAGCCTCATCACAACAAGGGACCAAATCAGGTGAACTATTTAGTCCGTGGGAATAAATTACTCGGTGTTGATGAGAATAAACCACTACCTGAGGGTTTGACGAACACACACAAACCTGAGGGCTAGTCGGTCGGGATACACCGCTAGGAGGTGTAAAGGGAATGAACCACTCGGTGAGAACAAACCACTGCACTGCCGGCGGGTTTGACGAACACACACAAACCTGAGGGTTCCAATCGCTGTCGTAGATGATGCACGTGTCCGCGGCCGTGAGGGTGATGCCTACCCCGCCCGCCTTCGTCGACAGCAGCATCACGAACATGTCGCTGTCGGGGGCCTGAAAGCTGTCGATCGCCTGATGTGTGGATTTTATATAGGGAAGGTGAGGTGGATTAGAAGGCGAACGTGGGAGGGGCATGCTCTGCCACTTGTGTATTCATCATTTTCTGAGGGCGCGCATGCCGCCTGCAACAGTCTCCGCACTAACAAACAACAGTTGACCAAGCTCTTGAAACACAAAAAGAGCTGATGCGAGCTACTACTGTAGTACGCCTGTAGCAATGTTTGCGAGTTTCACTACATGCTGTACCTTCTGGCGGAGGTTTCCCTGAATGCTGCCGTCAATGCGGCCGTACGGGATGCCCGAAGCGATCAGGTAGTCCTCCAAGATATTCAGCATGATCTGTTCGTGAGGTGAGCGAGGAGGGAAACGAACACGGAACAAAGACAAGTCAGACATCGTTCGAGAAGCATTCAATCCGGAACGCCAGACCGAAGCCGCACGGTTTGTTATCGGGAATGAGTCAGCAACGTCAACGTCGCAGGATGGAAGAAGCAACAACGGACACAGTGAATCCGCAAGTATGGCAGGAACGAGTCTGCGAACGAAAACGTTCGCAAGAATGAAATCGGCATCGTGTTGCTGCATCTGCGAACGCGTGGACTGCAGGAATGACGAACAGATATCATTAGCATGAGTAGGTTTGGCATCGGTGACACGCATAAGGAAGGGTGGATGGTTTGCAGGGATACATCGAATGAGTCGTGCTGCTGCGCTAGATCGGCGCGTTTGTAGGAATGCATCCAGAGTGAATCCACTTCGTGTCAAGAATGAATCAGTACCGTCTGGTGTCCCAGAAGTGAATCCGTATCGATTGCATTACCCGCATGTATGACACTGAACCATCGGTGAGTGAAACGTCGGTGGAAACTCTCTTGATCTCACGACCAAAGAACCTCTTCGTGAAAGCGAATGAAAAACAGCACGCTTCTGGAGCACGATTTATGTGTGCAGAGCTGGGAAAGATCGAAGAGCGGAACTTCCTTGTGTAGTACATGCATGCGTGCATGCAGACACCCCACTGACCTTGAACTGGCTGAAGAGAAGAACGCGGTGCCCCTGCTGCTTGAGGCGAGGCAAGAGCTTGTCCAGTAGGACCAGCTTGCCGGAGTGCTTAACCAGATGCTCCTACGTTTCGTTTTCGGACGGACCAGATGAGACGAACGAGAGACACCTCAAAAGGAGATCTCCCTTAACACAGAAAACGTGGATCGCGGTCGTCGTGACAGCGGCTTCTAGGGTGGCGCATCCAAGAAGCGAAGCAAATGAAACAAACGAAATACAACTACGAAACAGAAGCAGGTTGGTATTTCGAGAAACCAAGGGAGGCTTCCCGGCATTTTGGTAACACAAATATTTGACAGAACGAAACGAAGACAACAGTGAAATGCAGCGAAACGAAGGCCGACGGAACGCAGTGGAACACAAGTTAAAGAAGGGAGGGCACATCCGCTCACACGACGAGACAAAAGTTCAAGCGAACCGCGCGAGTGGTCAATGAATCTCATTCACCAATGAAACGATACGGGCGCCTCCATCTGCCAAACGTACGTGGTACGATGTCAAAACGAATTACTGTAGCAAGACTAAACAGCCTCATTCAAAAAAAGACAAGTCCCGTGCCCACCTTGTCTTCCCCGCTGTCTCCCATCTGGACACGGACAGCATCCTCCACGCCACTGTAGGCACAACGTCGGCAGCGACGTTGTTGAAAATGTCACGATTGTGCGAAAAAATATCGCACGCTAGTCAGTGGTCGGATTCAGGGCGAGAACATCGATGACGTTGACGTAGGCAGGCGCACAAAGCAGCAGGCAAAAGGCCGCATGACCCGCACACGGAATACGAAGCAGGCGGAACGCCGGTGCTCACAACCATGGGTGGCCGCGAACAGAAAAAAAAGTATGGAAGAATGCCGGGGTAGAGAGAAGTCGGGAGAGCTTAGAGAGAAGATGGGAGTGCTACAATTCTCAAGCAAAAACGAATCGAAACGTGCGACAGAGAGGAGAGAACAAGCCGGTACACGAACGAGAACGGATTTTGTAAGAACAATACACGGGGTTGGCCAAACATACAAGACAACCCTCTCTCGCGGTCGCGAGACACTCACGTGATGAGGTACGGGTGGTTGCAGCACTTCCTGAGCTGCATGGCGAGGTTCATCAGGCTAGGCCCGTCCTGCGCCCTCTTCTTACCCTGCAGCAGGAAGGTCGTGTTCTGCTCGTAGATGGCCCGGTAGTACTGCTTCTGGATCTCCGTCAGCTCCACCTATTGGCGCGGCAAAAGTAAAACAAACACAAAATGATGAACCCGCAACGCAGGTGATAGGAAATCCTACATGTGAGACCTTACCAACAGGCGAGATGGAGCGGGGGGGGGGAGAGGGTGCTGGATTCTGCGGAGCGCCGCGGATGAATACAAGTATTTGTAACGTCTCTCAGCTAGCTCGACCTCTCAAGGGTGACAAAAATCGAGCACAATCTTCGCGTGAATTTGTTCGTGATCGATCCGATGAGGTGGGTCGGGCTGTGTGTTCGCGATTTTCCACCCGGTCTCGTCACCGTAGGGAGAGAGTGTGGCACAAAGTCTTGTTCCAGGAGGCTCTGTGCAGCACCAACAACAGACATAACTACCTTGCGCCGATGGGAACAGCTGATATCGACACACAACATGCCAGCGGCCACCGCAACCCCTCAAGAGGGGACGGACCTACACATACCCTGTGCCGATGGGCACAGCAAAAATTGACGACAACGAAGAGACTTGTGCAAAGTATGGTCTAGCAGGCTCGCCTCGATGATGGTCTCCTCCTTAGGGGGCACCGCCTTCTCCACGTCCTCCTTCATGCGCCGAAGCAGGTACGGCTTGATGTTCTCCTGGAGCCGGGACACGTCCTCCGCTCGCTGGCAAATAGATTACGGGGCGAAACAATGTGAGCAACAGAAAGCGCGACCACGCCAACGACAGCAAAACACGGATGGCCACAGAATGACCAGCACAAGGGGGTGAGTAGGCCTCCATTCGCCGCAACGCAGACTAAAAACAGCAGTCCTCCAATTGCTAACCACTACAGATCACACCACCCTCAACAAGAACAGCGACCACAAAGTCATCTTCCCAGACGAGCGCGTACAGAACCTCAAACCAACACGGGCAAGCCCTCCAACCGGTCCACCACCTACATACAGTTTCGCCTGGGAACTCTGGCCAAGTTTTCCCGCCACCCGAAAGGGGTTCCGGGGCCGGGGTTCCTTCCCTCCCCCGCCTCGACTCACCTGCAAATCCCCGTAATCCTCGACGAACTGGTCCTTGTTGCGGAACTTTGGCGCATCTACCAGGTTGAGGAGAGTCCACAGCTCCTGAAAACAAAAAAAACGAGGGGGGGTGAGAATGGCGGGTCTGGGTTCCAAGCTGCAAGGCCAGCGCGCAGTCTGAGCACTTGGAAAACAGCTAGTAAGCCTGCTGAATCGACTAGAGCAGAGGCTAGACCGTATGGCAACACACAGAGCCACTGAAGCTTGTGTACCAAAATAGCGCTGGCAAAAAAAGACAGGGGGGGCAACCAAGACGAACTATTTTGACACATCTCAGCGGCTGCATCAACAGTGCCGTCACCATACCTAGGAAGACCCACCAAAGGAAAAAGCATACCGTCAGATGCACTTTAACTAACTTCGCACCTCTGTATTGTTTTGCAGTGGCGTCCCGGTGAGAAGCAGGGTGGAGTCAAACGTGAAGCTTTCCTTCAAGGCCACCTGTGAAAGAAAGCACACAAGAATGACCGAACGAATGAGAGAAAGCACACAAGAACAGCGACACCGGAAACATGACGAAGGCGGGCTCAAGAGACCGAATAAACACAAAACGCCACGAACGTGTGGGAGGGAACTCTACGAGGCATTTGCCGAAAAAAAACACTGAAAATACCGCAACTTCTTCTGCGGGTTGGGAGCATTCTTTCGTGGGTCCAGCACATGCCGTCTTCCTTCGAACGAACTAGTCGAACGGAGTTCTACAAGGGAGTTTGCGGAAAAACAACCCCCCCCCCCCGTGATGTGAGAGCCTGGTCCGGTGAGATCCCGGCGTGCTCCGACCCGGCTTTGTAGGGATGCGGGGTCAATGGTCTAACGACTACGGCATGCACGACTATGACTACCCCCTGCCCCCCCCCGGGAGGACATTTAACTCACGTTGAGCTTGGAGCGGCTGCTCTTAAGGCGGTGAGCCTCGTCCACCACAAGCGCGTCCCAGTGAATCTTTCGCCCGAGCAGCGACGACACCTCCTTACGGATGCACAGCTCCGGGGTAGTGACCACCACGGTAGATTTCCACAGTCGCCGGCCCTGCGGGGAGTAGAGTAACCGGCCGGGCGGCATGTCACAAGGAGGCCAAGCAGCGATTTGTGTGGCAAGCGGCGGCGGGTGTTTCGGCAATCAAGCGCCTCAACAGCATGTTGAAAGAGAAGACACACAAACATTCACGTCCAGCAAAAAGAATGAATATGCCGGACTCTAACGCAGCAAATCAGCAGACAAAAAAAAGGGCAAAAAAAAATCGAGCCAAAAGTCGTTTCCACAAAACAGACCATCATGCATTTGATATGGATGATAGTACACCACCTACAGCAGCCCTGATTTGTTCAGAAAACAACACTATTTGTTTTCTTTTTGCGACTCGCGCTTAGGGGAAAAGAACGAAAAGCATGGTTTCGTTTCCGGGGCACAAATCTCCTGCCCGCGATACGAAAAAAAAAAAAAAAGCAGAAACGAATGACACTACTCATGTAAGAACCCTACCCATCCGTTATCCCTGCCCTCTTCCTCAACCAAGACGATAACATCCGCTCCACCGAATCGCAAACTCTCGAAAAACGTCAGCCCCCGCTGCCGAGATTAACAGCGCACATGCGCTTCGGCACCACGGATTCCCATCTCCATCTCCATCTTCATACAATAGATGCCGTAGAAACCGTAGATGCCATAGATACCGTAGATACCTTGATCGTGGACTTGTCCTTAGCCTTCTTTCCCATGTCCTCGGAAAACTCCATCTCGTAGTTCTCCAGAATCTCACGGTCGTCCTGGATGAAAAACAAAAACAAAAAAACAAGGAACAAAAGAGGGGACTATCCATCAAAACAAATATAAACAAACAAAGCAGAAGAGACAAAAATGAGTCACACTACAAAAAAAAGTTCGTTCCGTCGGTGAGGGCGCGGCATACATGCATCCTCTTGTGGCAACCGCGACTTGTCAAAAACAGAGCAACAGCATCCAACGACTACACGAAAAATTGGCCATTCTCCTCCTTCCAACAGTATGTACCTGATCTCCGTGGAAGACGATGGTGTTCATGTCGGACCACGTCTGGAACTCCCTCTGCCAGTGGGTCACGGTGGACAGCGGGGCAATCACCAGGAAAGGCCCACGCTTCCCGTAGTCGTTGTGCAGGATGGACAGGAACGTTACCGTCTACAGAGAGGAGGCCGGGGGGCGTGGGGCGGGCGGGGGGAGGGTTGTACTCATAGTCGTGCATGCCATTGTCGTTGGACAATTTACTTGCATGCCTGCAGAGCCGGGACGGAGCACGCCGGGTTCTTCTCAGCGGACCAAGCTCTCGCATTACCAAGCGCGTAGCGCCAGGGGACGGGGGGGCGGGCGGCGGGGGGCGGGGTATGACTCGGAACTATGCTTGGAAGGAGTCGGGCAAGGTCGTCATCATAGCAATCCGTCCCATGCCTCTAAAGTGGTGAGGCACTGGACGGAAATCGGATCAGTTTTTCCACTAACCAAAAGCTTGAGCCTTCACATCAAGATTTACCGCTTCGTCGGCATTCGTGTCCGTCGGATGGTGTTACAGCAACTACGGTCAACGAAAAAACACGCAACACACGCACCTACACACGACAGACAAATAGGGCGGGGGAGGTCTTACCTGAAGGGTTTTCCCGAGTCCCATCTCGTCTGCCAAAATGCTCCCGCGACCCTGCAGCCAGTTGTACACCATCCACCGGACGCCCTGTAGCCCCCATGAAGCCAAAGTTGTTCCGGTTCAGGCGAATGCATTAACCAGAGCCACGAAAAAATAAGTTGAAAGAAAAGGAGCGGGGGGAGGGGGCGAGACGCAACCAAAGAAGAGAGCGTCAGTAACAAGCCGCACTCAAAGAGCTCGACCGCTCTTTTGATAGTCGATGAACGGCCGCATCACCTCCGCCCGCAACGTAGAGAGTGTCCATCAGATAAATCGCCCGAAGGAGAAGAAAAAAGGTGCCGGTACTCAAGTGCTACCTTTTTCAGCCGTGCGGACCTGTCCCCCCTACGGTGCCGTAAGGGCAGTCATTCGTCAAAACATGCCGATCCTCGAACGTTTCGAAACCTCACCGTGCTCGTCGTCGACTCCTCATCACACCACCCCAACGCCGATCATACCCACCCAGATCGCATCACCCAGCCCCTCCCAACGCGCACGCTTTCGTTTGTCCCTCGCCGTATGCATACCACACTCTCACGCCAATGCGCTACTGGTCACGTCAGCCGACTACAACAGCGCGCTCGAACGCTTAAGCGAAAGAAGCGCATGCGCGCGTCCACGGCGGACCACCCCAACCCCTAGACAACTCAGAACAGAGCCCGGAAACCCGGCAAACATAAATCCGGTAAACCAAACCCGGTAAAAAGCAAACCCAGTAAACCAAACCAGGTAAACCAAATCTACAATTCCGGGTACCCGGGAAAGTCCGTTGCCGGGCAACCGCGCACCCACCTCTCTCTGGTAGTCCCGCAGAGATCCCCCGTTCTTGAATACGGGTGGATCCTTGTCGAGGTCGGGGGCCCCGTCGGATATACTCCGGGTGGCCTTCAGGTTCTTGAGTCTCTTAATGTCTTCCCGCCACTTGTACGCCTCCACCGCCTCCTCGTACTCCTACGCCAAAACGCAAAAAAAAATACTGTTCAAGTACTCGTGTGTTGGCATGTGACCAAACTTCCGGTGGCTCTTCTTCGACATACGCGCAAACGTGTCTCAACATTTCTAGCACCGACCGCGCTAACCGGGTTTGTGTGTGTATGGATGTGTGACGATGCTTTCAAGAGGCCTTTTCTTATTCGCACGAACACGTGGTTAGTCTCAGGGCCGCCGAAACGGAACACGGATCTCAAGGAGTAGACCTCAGGCCCCAAAATAAGCGCAGCAACGCATCATACACCTGCCCTGCGTTGTCCAGGTCCTTCACCAGCTCGTAAGTGCACGCAGAGTACGGGGCCCCCGCCCACTTCACCAGCAGACGGGTTTCCTCCCCCTCCACCTCGTCCACGTCGAGGACGCGCTCTAGCTGCACAAGTGACGGGTCGAAGAACTCGCCGTCCCCGCGCTCCATCTCCAGCTCAATGCCGAACTCCCTGTCCCGGAAACGGTTGAGCTGCACGGGGGGGGTAGTGATCGCGCGCACAGGATAGCGGCGGCAAGGGGGTGAGAGGAACGGGACAGACTAGGAGGATATCTTCCAAAACACAAACAAGAACCGAAGGTGATGTGTGCCAGTGTGCCATGAATGGTACTTCGAGCGTGCCGCATTTCCTAACCGCTTCGTTTCCTGTTCGAGCCCGACACCGGATTCCCTCTACAACAACAACACAGTGCTACCGCAAAAACCAACAACAACGCAGCACACACAAGGCGCCAAAAAAAAACCCTCCAAAATGTGCGTGTTCTTTAGATCTTCTCATGGCTCTAGCATTCTTGTCACCACGGACCGAGCCTTTGCTAAATGTTGGGATTAGCAACTGACACGAGTTCAATTTGTAGAAAAACAACAAACAATAACAACAACAACAACAACAACAACAACAACAACAACAACAACAACAACAACAACAACAACAACAACAACAACAACAACAACAACAACAACAACAACAACAACAACAACAACAACAACAACAACAACAACAACAACAACAACAACAACAACAACAACAACAACAACAACAACAACAACAACAACAACAACAACAACAACAACAACAACAACAACAACAACAACACACAACACACAAAACACAACGGCGCCTACAAAAAACAACGAGAGCACGCGATCAGCGGCAAAACCCGCGCACCGCGCACCGCGCTTCCCTTGTCTCACGACTGCGCCACCCACCTGCGACTTGACGTGAGAGGTCGTGAGCTCTATGAGGTCCTCCGCGGTCTCCCACGACACGTGGAGATAGCTCATGTCGCTCCACTTGACTAGGTACTTCTCCACCGGCTTGGCGTCCGCCGTGTCGTCCCCTTCTTGGTCTTGGTCCCACATGGACCCCGCCGTAACCTGTACCATGGTTTGTTTTGATTTGATTCCATCTATTTCAAATGTTCGTTGTTGTTGTTAGTGTTGGCCTTCAAGAGCGTTGACGAAGAGGAGGTACCAGGGAAATAAAAAACCTGTATCATGATACGTTTTCCTCCATTTCAGTTTCAATCGATGCGTGCTTTCGTTATTTTTTGTCTTCAAGAGCAGCGAGGAAAAGAGGTACAGGGATACAAGTCAGAACGACATCATCCAGAGGAGACAGCAACAACAACACAACCGCCTCCCCTCCATTCTCCATCCTCTAGAGGCCGCGTAGCCAATGGGGGGGAACGCAAAAAATGAGCACCCCCTCCCCGCCCCCGCCCCCACACTGGCATGCCCAACCCTCCCGGTCGTGGCGAGAACTTTCATCACCTGGTCCGTGCTCATGTCCTTGCACATCTCTCGCCACTCTGCCGGCTTGAGAGTCTTCCTGGCCAGGATCTTGGCGGGCTTGAGAGGCTTCTCCTCCTCGTCCTCGTCCTCCTCGCTCTCGCTGTCATCATCATCCTGCTCGCTGCTGCTGTTGACGTGGTTCTCGTCTCGCTCTCCCTCCGGAGTCATCACCGACGCCGCGCTAGCGCTATCGTCGTCATCGTCAACGTCGTCGCCTTCGTCTGTGAACAGCCACACCGCAGGGACAAAGCGAAGCGGTGGTAGCAGGGGCACGATAGCGCAAACTAACGATTGAGCGAAGAAGCGTAAACAACGGCCAGATAGAACAACGCTACGAAAACAAAAGGCTCGGCAGACTGGGACCAACACAGCGCTGCTCACCGCGCGCGCCAAGACGAGGAAACAAGCAGCGAAACGGGGCGCTTGAGCGACGCTACAGCAGGTGTGTTCAGACCCTGCTCATCTGCACGTTGCCTGCCGATGCTGCAGTCCTCTCTTGTCGGGTCGTAAGCACCCAGAACGACACACCCACTTTTCTTTACCTCGTCACACAAACCCAACCACACGCCAGACCCTCTCCTCAGTTGGAGATAGCCTAAACCCCCCCCCCCTGCACCAGGCAACCAACACGGCAGCTGCCCTTTCTTCATCAGCTGCCGTGCCTGAGTGCCCTTTCCGTTTCAACTCCCATGTTTTTTTCATCACAACAAAAGCGGTTGCCCTTCTTCATCACCTGCCTTGTCTGAGTGCCCTTCCCCTTTCAACTCCATGTTTTTTTTCATTACATCAGAAGGTTGCAATTCAAAAGGGAGCGCCCAGTCGCAATCACGCCGCCCTCACCAGGCCCCGCGAGCCCAGCGGTGCCTTCACCCGTGGCGCCAGAATCCCCCCCCCCTCTTGAAACACGTGGGTACACGACAACATTACTATCGCTGGTGCCGACGGGAGAGCATCTAGACAGCAACTAACACACTACACCAGACAGCAAGACTTCGACACCTGATCACGCCCCGAACTCACCAACCCCCCCGCTGCCGGCCTTATTCTTCCGGCGATCTCTCCTGGCAGAGCGACCAGCGGCGGCATTGGCTTCCGGGTCCGCCTCCTCCTCCTCCTCCTCCTCCTCCTCCTCCTCCTCGTCGCCGCCCCCTTCCCCGTCCAGCTCCAACTGCTCATCATCTTCGTCTGCTCCCGTGTTCGACGACGCCGACGACCCGGCTGAGGATCTCTTGGCCTTTTTTTTACCGCCGCCACCGTTCTTCTCCGTCTTGCTATTTTTCGTCTCCTCCTCCCTGCTCCTCTTCCTCTCCGCCGCGGCCTTGACGCTGGAGGACCTCTTTTTTCTCTTGCCGTTGCTTTTCCCGCCGCCACCGCTGCTGCTGCGGCTGCCATCGACTACCTTGACGACCGCGATGTCGTCGCCATCGCTTCCGCCGGTGCCTTCAGAGACGTCGTCGTCGCGGTCGCCGTCGACGTCGCCGCCGCTGGCTTCGTCGTCGGAGATGTCTACGACAGCACGGCGGCCCTTCCGGCCTCCTTTCTTTTGTCCTTGGTCATTGTCCGAGTCTGAGTCCGAATCCGCCTGTGCGGCGGGGCAGCAGCAGCAGCAGCAGCAGCAGCAGCATAAACAACGACAACATCAATGTCAACGACAACAAGAATGTCAACAGCAGCAATAACAGGACCAAAACGTTCGCAATGAGCGGGGGGGCGAACGCCAGTTGCAATGCTACTTCTACTCACGTGTCATGCGCTAGGTATTCCGTTGACAATTTCATTCCGTTGACAATTCCGTTGGAGTTTGACCTCCCAAGACAGACACATTCCACCATCTCCAACAACACCGACAACACCATCAACAATCACCCTACTGCTGTATACGTCTCGCATTGCGTCGCACCTGCTTCTTCGTGGTCTTCTTCTTCCCCCTCCCCCTGCCCCCCTCCTCGCCCTGTCTCTCCGCCTCCTCCTCTTCCTCCAGGAGGCGGTCGACGTCCATGGCGTTCTCGTCGTAGATGACCGCGGGTTTTTCCCGCGAACTTCTACGGGAAGGTTCTGCCATCGGCTGAAAATTTCAACCGGCACACAGATCACATCAACAACAACAACAGCAACGAAAAACGCATCCTCGTAGAATAGTATAACCCTTTGTGAGCAACGCCACTATACACGTGCGGTGGGCCACCACGCGCGTGAGCATACGCGCAACTCCGAATTTACATGTCAAACAGCACCATCGCGGCTCATGAGCTGAGCCAAGGACGTGAAACGCCAACTTGATCGCCATTGCCGTCCGCCATGCATCACAAGAAAGTCCAACAACCGTAAAAGGACAAAACAAATCTACCCATCAGAAAAAACACGCAACAAGAAATGCACAAAAACACAGCTCGAGCTCAATACTGCCCTGCCCACCCACTCTTGGTCCCTGTGAGTGCGCTAAATTCTTACCACCTACCTACATAGAGCAACCGCTTAAGCTCTACTAGGGTCGCGAAAGAGTCCCCAGGATTCTGAAATATGAAGAGCCCCAACATGACGCCATTGGGCACAACAGCAGCAGCAGCAGCGCGCGCACATAAACGCACCTTGGACAGCAAGGTGATGCGGCCAACCGGCTTCTTCCCCCCCCTTCGACCTCTGCCGTTGCCCCTCTTCGGCGAGGCGGCGGCGGCAGCGGCAGCAGCAGCAGCAGCAGCAGCAGGAGAACCCTTGCCATTCGTCGTCCTCTTCCTTCTCTTGTTGTTCTTCGCGGAATCGTTCTATTACGATCAAATTTGTTTCGGCGTCGTTGTTGTGTACAAAGTGTTGTCGTCAGGTAGTTGATTGTGTAGAAAGTGCTGTCTTCAGGTAGTTGGTTGTGTAGAAAGTGTTGTCTTCAGGTAGTTGGTTGTGTAGAAAGTGTTGTCTTCAGGTAGTTGATTGTGTAGAAAGTGTTGTCTTCAGGTAGTTGGTTGTGTAGAAAGTGCTGTCGTAAGGGAGTTGGTCGTTCCGTGCTCGACCCCACGGTTCCGTGCAACCCCAATCGAGAAAAACTTCTAGCCACGCGATAGGCCGAAGGATGAACCGACGGGTAATGACATTTTGTTCCGTGGACGGGTATGAGAGGTTGCAGGAACCCCACCCGTTCTCTTTCTCTTTCTCGGTCTCGGACTCAATCAAATGTTCGGATTGCTCCTGGAAGCGCGAGGTGCGAGGTTATCGTCTCAGTCCTGTCAAATCAACAACATAAACGCCAACACAACGTGCGGCCTTCGCACAAACTATAGCACACTACTTACAAGTTTCTCACGAATTCATTCAGGCAGTCAGGGGTGGAGATGGGGGGGGGGCGTTCCTGACTCTTGTCTCCAACACCCCCGAAAATCATCTCCAACTGTCGTATGTCGCACTGCAGCAAGCCAAGAGCACTACCTGCTATTCTCTGATCGACACCAAAAAGTTTATCTGAGCTACGCGTACATTGGATGCGCGCGGAGAAAACCCTCCGAGTGGCCTTAGTGACGACACCGCAGTTGTACGCCAGTTTGCTTGACAGAATACCTACCGACCAATCTTAAGACTCTGCCGGTATCCAAAGGCTGCTTCCCCACCGTGAAGTGGTTCCAGGTGCGCGGCGCCCACGCTAAGTTTCTCCCCCGAGCACCGACTGACTCCTTTCTCTTTCGCCCTAGAGGCGTTGTAACCAGAGCGTCTTTGCGCCAAAGTTTTGGAATGTTTCCAATTCGGGAACTTGCGAAGCGAATACGAAGGCAAAAAAAATGGAAACTTTGCCATGAAGCATTGCAAAATTCTCGGGGCCTTAGTGCACTCACTTCCAACTGAAAAAAAAAAAAAGTTTTTGAACCACTTCCAATATTATACTTGTGAAATAGAAAGAGTGGAAAACCAACCGGGCCCAAAACGCCCCTCACCTCAAAGTCCTCCTCGTTATCCTCGTTACCCGAGCTATCCCCTTCCCCATCCTCATCCCCGCCCCCCTTGCTCCCTACATCTCCGTCCTCGTCGTCCGAGAAGTCGGAAAGGGGCTCCGCGTACGAGAGGCTCTTACCCCCCCTGCTGCGCCCGCTCCTTCGCTCCGCTTTACGATCTTTCAGAGGTGTCCCTGCGTAGAGGAAAAAAACGGTGGGG